AGCGGCCCGGTCGCTACGACGGCTCTTTTCCGGCTTACATGAGTGTCTTCGACAAGGCGGCCGCGCGCATCCAGGCCAACCAGGCCGCCATTACGGGGGAGGCCTCCTCGAACACATACACGGCTGTGTACTCACATCTGCGGTGGGTAGGAGGAAGGGGGGACCCTGGGGGGCTGGCAGGAGGTCGGGGGGGATTTGTGGGAGGAGGTGGGGGGGGTTGGGAGGAGGTCGGCGGGGTTTGTGGGAGGAGTCGGGCGTTAAGGCTGGGCTGATGGGGTAGAAGACGGGGGTGATGGGCTGAACCTCCTGCCCATCACCTCCGTCTTGGGGCTGGAGCTCCTGGAAGGTAGGGAGGGGCGGAAAGGCGGTGCCTTTGGTCCTTTGGCGATAACGGTCAGGAAGGCGGGAATGGACGAAGGGCGGGGCAGGAAGGGAGCGGGGAGGGAGGTTGAGGCGGGTGTGGATTCTGGCAGGACGCGGCCTCAGGCCATGGTACGCTAGATCTGGGTATTCTGGATCTGAATCGGAGTTCCAAGGCTAGATGCTCCGTACTATCCTCCTCCTTTCTCCCCCTTTGCTTTCCCCTCCAAACACGTGGCTGCCTGCCACTCCCCACTTTTTTCCCCCACCCGTCCTCCACTCCACTTACAGAGGTCGCACATTGGTGAAGCGAATCAACTCCACTCTGTCCGAATACCTGTGGGAAGCCACTCCCTGGGCTCGATACATCGTCATGTTCAGAGACCCTGTCACTAGGTACCGTTCCGCATTCTTCTACTACCGGTGAGGGGGGCGACTGAGGAGGGGAGGGGAGGGGAGGGGTGGGGAGCAAGGACAAGCAAGGACTAGCACGCAAAGACTCCAACCTCGCTACCACCTCCCTCCCACCCCCGTTTGCCGCTGCCTCCCGTCCTCCCTCGCGTGTTTATGGCGTATCTTTCCCCCCAACACACATACTTATTCAGCAATAAGGCCCTCGGCAAACCCACGGACCGGGAGTTTCTAGAGCGAGTTCAACAAGACATTGCGGACTGGGAGAAATGCCTGGCGGACAACTCGGAGCTGTACTGCCTCAAGGTACGGTCGTACTGCAATATGTACGGCACGTCCTTCGTGTTACGTGTACGATGTGTGCGTATGAAGAAAGTGGTGGGAATTTTCGTCCGTTGCCTGCGTTGTCTTCTAATTCCTTCATCTTCATACCATCCTAGGCACTGCTGCTGCCAGCCCTCCGAACTGGTCTTGTTTCAGGTCCTAAGCCCCGCCTGCTTCATGACTCTCATCCCTCCTTCCGCTCCTCCCCTGCTCCTCCCTCCTTCCCCTCCTCCCCCTCTTCCCCCTCTTCATCAATTTCGCCGTCGATCTGGTCCGCAACTCCGCCTGTGTGTCTTGAGCAGCTTGCACCGCTTCGGTACTGTAGCTCTGTTTCTTTTTCTTCCCCTCCCCGCACCAACCAGCCACACACCATCCCGTCTTCCCGTCGCACCCCGACCCGCAGGCCTACCACCCGCAGCAGCTCGTCAAGGGCATGTACGGCAAGTACCTGGGGGGGTGGCTATCCGTGTGGCCTCGCGATCGTTTTCTCTTTATGCGCACTGAGGACTACAAGTCGGCCCCCGTGGAGCACTTGACCGCGGCTATCAAGTTCCTTGGTGAGTGGCATGCGGGGTAGCTTCACCGGGGGTGGTGTGGGTAGTGGGTGGTTACGTTGGGTAGGTAGTTGGGTGGTGATGTTGGGTACGTAGTTGGGTGGTTACGTTGGGTAGGTAGTTAGGTGGTGATGTTGGGTAGGTGAACAGGCATGTGGGGAAGAGTCTGGGCCCCACTGTTCCCTTGTAGAAGTTTACGTACACATACATTCATACAAACAGACAGACATGCATACATACACATACCCTTGCACATACCCACGCAGGCGCGCCCCGTACCGCAGGCCCCCGTCCTGCATGTTTTCCCTCCGTCGCAATGTATTGGTTCGTCCCCCGCCTCCTCCGCCTCCTACTCCTCATTATCATTATCATCATCACCATCATCATCATCATCATCATCATCATCATTATCATCATCACCATCATCATCATCATCATCATCATCATCATCATCATCATCATCATCATCATCATCATCATCATCATCATCATCATCATCATCATCACCATCATTATTGCGTGAAGTATCTCCGAGCCCCGGGGCCCCCACCCCACCCTTCCCGAACTCCCTGTGACCCCCCGCATTCCCGCATGCGGTCCATTTGGAACCTTTCCCTAATGCGCCCTAATCGCCCCTTGTGCTTCCTCCTCCTCATCACATTTTATCCTCACGCTTTCCCGCTTCTGTCTGTCTGTCTGTCTGTCTGTCTGTCTGTCTGCATTCTTCGTATACCCGTTGCCTCGTCGCCGCATCCAATGGACCGCTCGGCCTCCGTCTCCGCTATCTCCGGCGCTGCCGCTTCTTCCTTGTCCCCCTCCTCCCCCTCCTCCTCCTTCATCAAAACTCCTGAGGGTGGTCGTGGTTACGATGCTGGTTGTGGTGGTGGTGATTGCTGAAACAGTCATCCAAGTATGATGACAGTAAGGGGGCAAGCCGGGAGCTCAACACGGCCTACCAGCTGCTAAGGGACTTTTACAAGTGAGTTGGTGGGATGGGATGAGAGGGAAGGAAGGGGATTTTCATTCTTAGGGTTTTATCTCATGAGAGTGACTCGTCTTGTGTGACCGCATGCTGCTGCGGCTACGGCCACGGAAGCATGCTGCTGCTCTGATGGCTGTCGTGGTGCTGTCGCTGCGGCTGTAGCTGCGGACACCGTTATTCCGCTTCTATTCCTACCACCACCGTACAGCGGGCCCCGTGTTCACCTCATGCGACACAGGAGGTCAGCTATCCCTCCGTCTCGGTGCCTTCTTCGGGTGCATGGGCTGGCTCTGTTCTGTCGACCCAGCTGCTGCTGCTGCTGTTGTTGCCCCGGTGTCGCTGCTGCTGCGGCGGCGGCGGTTTTTGCTGCCACCGATCATACACGCTCTCGCTGCTGTTGCTAGTTTTTGTGTTACCTCTTTGCTACTGTTTCCGCTGCCCCTCCCTCCGCAGGCCCTTCAATCAGGAGCTTTCGAGGGCGTTTGGGAACGACCCGCGGTGGTTATGGGGGTACTGAATACACCCCACCGTACACACGTCATGACGGGTGGACAGACCAGCATGCGAAGAGGAGGGACGAGGGAAGGGGAGAGGAAAGGGTGCGTGGAGCGAGGAGAGAGGGATGGGCGATGGGGAGTCCTCACTGTGTGGCGCGGTCGGTAATAGTAGCCACAGTGCTGCTACCTCATACACACATACCTCCCACCACCGGCTTCTGTATACGGGCGGATGGAGGAGGGCCACATGCGGCTGCTGCTGCTGCTGCTGCTGCTGTTATCATGATCATCATCATCATCATCATCATCATGCGTCATCGTGATCGTCTTTTGGGGGCAAGGGCTGGCAAGGGGCCGGGTGTTTTACACCACCACAAACCAGACGGCCCTCGTTTAGAATCCTGGAGAGCGCACTATCACGGGATCTGACATCTGCAGCTGCCGATCGGTACTTTTCTGAAGTCGTGATATAGCACCCCGTAGTGGTGGGTCTAGCCACTTGCAGCCCAGTGCCGTACAGCGTCCCCTGCGGAATACTGCGGGGCAACTCCTTGCTACACCCGGGCCGAGGGCCCTTTTCGGCTTCGAAGTAGCTGACTACACTCCACTCACCAACTATTTCTGGTCAACCGCAATCAGTGAATAGCCCCGCGGTGCACGCGCACATCCAGGCATCCGCAGCAAATGAAAGGGTTGGGCGGCCGGGCAAATCCCAACGATGAAATAGAATAAGGTGATTCAACGCAGCATGCCGTACTCGGCGATTTAGCTTACCACCACATTATACCTTCAAACCTTCACAGACGTACGAGGAGTGGTGAAACCATCGTGTACATAGCACTACCTCCATCACAAGCAAAAACTGATGCATGAGAAACAGCAAATGCCATACAGCAGTCCATGCGCAAACGCAGCCCTGATCCTCACCCCACCGCTGCAACTCCTAAAAGGAAGCACTACGGCTGCTTCATCAACTCGCCTGAACCCTTGTTAGGGATGCATACACGGGACGACAATGCACCGCGAAACGCTCCCATTTCGACGCTTCATCATAAAGGGAATGGATTAGATATCATTGCCCCCTGCCACGACGGTAATCAAAACACCACTAAACACGTCATCCCCCTCTTACGCACACTCCGACTACTCCAGGATTCTGCCAATCGCCCAACACGTCCACATCCAGCCTTGGCTCAGCACATAAGCACTAGGTCGGGCCTACATGCTGCTCCTTCCTTGGCCATAATAAACACCAAGCCAGGGGTTTGCGCCACAGCACTTGGGCTCCTACATGTGCGAGTGTGAACCTCACAGGGCTCCGCCAGTGATACTCAGGCCAGCAATATCCGCCCAGCATCCCTCAACCGTATCAACTTAAGGCAGATTATACATTAACCACAGAAGGAGCGAAGGAGCGAGCTTCATGGAAAGGTTACTGCTGTGACGGATGATCTTCCTCAACAGTAAACCCTAATATAGGCGTTGTTTGTATAGTGACTTTAGAACGGTGTTTCTAGTCTTTGTGGCTGAGAGTAAATCGGATGTGCAAGCTTTCTCGATAGCGCACTGAGCTGCTGGTGGCGCTAGCTTGGGTAGTTCCCTTCACGGGCATCGGCAAACTTGGTGGAGAAAGTCCTTCGTGAGCTGCAGCTTGCTGGACCTTCGCCGACTGGGTGCGCATGGTATTCCCTGGGCTCGCCATGTAAGTCAGATAGAAAATGTTTCTTAAGTTGGAATGTGTTTGCGGAAGCGATGGAGTGCTTGACTCCGAGGTCGTTTGACCGGTTGGTCTCAGATACCAAAATTGTAACAAAGCTTGCAGTTGGCAAGCAGTTGCGAAAAAGGAAATTATCCAACGATAAAAGGTGGTATTGATAAATACCGTTTGGTATTGGAAGATTATGAATAGTTCTTGGATGTACCGTTGGTACGATACCGTTGGCCCGGTGAGCCAAGGGCCGCCTTAGCGGCGTTACAGGACCCATATCGCGTGCACATGGTTGTGTTGCATCCATTTTGCATGCCTGACCCTGCTGGCAGAGGTCGGTGACCCCCAAGTCGGTGACCGAAAACAGAGTCCCAGTAGACATTTTAGAGAATTTTTTACTTTGCCCTACAGAGGAAATTGAGGTACCCCGTAGTGATCCAAATGGTTTTGATTCCGTGCGAAGCACGGCTTCCAGGGCCCCAGTGCAGCCACCCGAAGTTGTTTTTGCAAAAACTCGAAAGATATTTTAGCGTCAATCTAAATGGTTTCGGGTGGAAGGCGGCCGGTAACCAGGGAACGAGCCGAAACGGAAACCTGCGTAAACGGAAACCTGCGTAAATAGGTTTCGTCACGCTTTCCGCAGCGAAGCCCAGATTGGCGGAAATGCGGAAAGAGAATCCGCATTTCCGCATTTGCTGTACGGCGGAAATTCAAAAGCAGATTCCAGGCATGCGTTTGCCATTTAAAGACTGCGTTTTACACTAAGGAGTTATTAGATTAAGTCAAATGTCAACAACCACTGGCTCCGACCTGGGGGGTGCCGAAGTCATAGAGATTGACTGTGTTTCTGCTCAGAAGAAGGGTGGAAGGCCAGTTGACGACGTTTTGAAACATTTTGATAGAGGTCCTTACGACAAAAGCAAGAATTGCTATGCCACCTGCAAGGGCTGCCGTCGCCACTGGAAACGGGCGCGCCTTCCTGAAATCCGGTTACACCTTGCCAAGGAGTGCACTGCCATTGCGCCTGAGGTCAGCGCGTTTTACAAGGCCTTGTTAGCTAAGGATGCTACTGCATCCTCTTCTGAGGTCGTCACGGCCAAGCGGGCCTGCTCAGGCCTGGGGTCTCAGGGTTCAAAGAGAGGCGGGCTGCTTTAAGGGGGCAGGGTGAACACCGTCAAGGGTGTGGGCACACAATAGTTGATCGCTTGGCCCCCGCCACCCACAGTAATACGTTTAGATGGCTCTACCTTCGAGCACGATTGGAATCAACCAGATTCTAGATCCCACCGGACAGAACCGCATTGCCACAAGCTGGTTTCAGACTGTCCAAGTTATCGCCACACTGAGAAGAGCTAAAAAACATCGTTACATATTCATTTTATAGTTTTCGCAGCTTTCCGCAGTTTCCGCAGCCTTTCCGCAAAGGGCCTCCCGATTACGAAAAGTTTACGCAGACCTGGTCAAGTTTCGGCTCGTTCCCTGCCGGTAACAGGGTCTTGCAGTGTAAGGCCCGCTTGGTTGCCAGTCAAACAACAAGTATACATGTGAAATTCTCCTCATTGGCGACTTGACTTAAGCAAAAGCAGCATTTCAAACATCCTGAGGTGGTTCAGTATGTACGTGATTGAGCTACTGCGAAGATTGTGGTGGAGTAGGCTGGCCATGGCCGGGGATCTACCTTGGCTGCTATGGGCACAGCTGATCGTGTCCGAATGGCGACTGACTGCCTGACTGACCGATGGGGTTGTCACTGCTCGCAGCACGGATAAAGCGGCACGGATAAAGCTGCCGTCTCACTGGGATCCATTATACTTTCCTCCCCCTGCATGTTTGCTGCCGGCGGCTGCTGGTGAACATGCTCACCGTGTATAAGCATTGTGTAGACACTATACCGCCAGCTGTAAAAAGTACAGCACCCAGCCGTGCAGCTGTGCGCCCCATTGTGATAGTGGCCCGCCCTGCACTTTGTCTGGCGACCATGTCTATGATGTGCACACATGCTGCAACATCGTCAAGCATAACAATGCATAATGATCGTTATGCTTGACGACTTAATGCTGCTCATATTGTACAGCGTGGGTGTTCTAGTGATCCACCCTGCTCAGCCTGCCTTGGGCCTGCCGCCTGCAGGCGCTGACGCTGGCACCAGCAACGCTGCTGCAGGTGAGCCTACTGTGCCTGACGCGGGAAGGGGGGGAATAGGTGTTGTGGGCTTGGTGTGCCGTTTCATTGCAGCGCTGGGCTTGAGTGCATGGACACCAATTACCAGCCATTACCATTATCAGCCATTACCACCTCCCATCGTCGCTGCTTACACACCCCTTCCCAAACTGCTAGGCCTGCTCATGCACCGTGCTAACGTTTCCACAGGTGTTGTGATGGTGTTATGAGGCGGAGTTGGGCCCTACAGTAGAGGAAGCACCAGCCAGGCTCCCACTCTCAGCCTCGTCAGGTCTCACATTCCTGGACAGCAACCAACCCTCAGGCCGCAGGCCACAACGAATGGAGAGCAGGGGAGGGGGGACATCACCAGAACACTCATTTACAGCACTAGGATAACATGTCCATGAAGGGCTTGTCCCTCGGCAGGCGGGCAACATGCATAGTGATAACACTCGGCAGTTACACGTTCCAGCCTGTTGGGCCTGCGATTGTGCAGCCCTGTGTGACAGCACACTCTTTCTCTACCATAAAGGGGCGGTTTAGTGTTCTGCATGACATACACCCTCTTGCTACTGAGGGGTGTGACTTCTGGCTTGATTCAGCTTGAAGTTGCTTCGTCGCTTTGCTGCTCTGCACCCCTTCGTTGTGATCCTGCATGCATTGGAACTGGGCGACAGCTGCTGGTTGTTTAATGTGTATGCGCCTTGTGGGCACGATGGGCTATCCTTGTGCAGGCCTGCCAGCTTGCAAGCTGCAGCTCCGGCAAGACTCGCAGAACCAGGACCTGTTCTTCTTTGAGCCCATGGACACTGTCAGCACTGCAGCTGCCACAAGTGCTGGCGTGAACAGCATGTTCTTCCTGGACCCCGAGGGCAGGCAGATAGCTGAGCTGAAGAAGTGGCTGGACCTTGCCGAGGATGAGTACTGTATGGGGAGACCCATCTGGCCGCTGTTCATCAACGGTCTGGTCAAGGTGGGATATAAGGCCTGACCAAGGATGGAGAGCTCCTTGTGCAGCTTGTGTCCAACCCACATGGAACAGGGTTTGGAGTGAGAAGATTAGGCATGGTTGTCACGACATTTTAGCGTCACGTTCATTTTACCGTCTTTTATAATCGTCTTAGGTTATAATCGGTGTGAATACGCGAATTTCGTGTATAATCGCGTAAGGTGTTTGGTTCTCATCTTACACTTCGCTGATGGACTTATGGACGAGACGAGAATGTACGCTCGTTTGCGTACGTTTATGTATTTTACCTGTGAATTGTCTATTTCTTGTGTGAATGTTCTGTCACACGGGTTATAAGGTGTTTCACTTTTGTCATATGTGGACTATACGTCGTGGTCGTACTCGAGGCTTATCTTTTGAGGGCCTCCTGTGATCGACAATGTGACTTCGGTATTTATAGCCGGCAGCGAGCTTGGAAAAGTCGCTTTACGGCTCATGATTGGAACATTGTAAAGTTCTCTGAGCTAGACAACAAGCCCTGTGCGGACCTCCCTTTTCTTAAGCCGCATAAGTAACTTCCTTCCACCAGCCGAACTCCTGTGTGGGCCACTCAACGCCCATATCCTTCACGCCGGGCATACTCAGTCGGTAAGGTAAATCTTTATCACTGTTGATTTGTTGCCTGGAGGGAATCTTGGCCCCTTTCGCGGGTTGCTATTTGCTGCGTATTACGACTTGCCCGCTCGTGTGCCGTCTAGTCAGCATTCCAGCTACCTGCAGGACTTCGCCTAGACCACCCTGCATTCCATGGGTAGATGGGTGATGCATGCAGCTTTGTGCACTATTGAGTAATACACAGCTGAGCGACCAAGGGGAATGCACGCTTACCATCTTGCGCCCATCTTGTGCCCGTTGTGCAGACTGGCAAGTCCTACATGCTCAACGAGGTTCTGCCTGCTGTGGCCAACACCTACTACAGCAGCGGCGGCAGTGGCCGGCAGCATGCTGGCACGGTGCTTTCAGAGCCCAACTTCCTGCGCGTGAACTGCTTGGTCTGCCGTCGCGGCAGGGGCATCAGTGGCTTCCTTAAGGAATTCCTCGCTGTACTCAAGCAGAGCGCCGCCAAACAGCAGCTCTCTGCTGCCGCCAGCACGCCTGCACCCAGTGACAACTCGGCTGTCACCGCAGCGGGCGCCATTCAGGACTTCATGGAGCGCCTGCCACGGGACCGCCTGAACTTCCTGCTGATTGACGAGGCGCAGAGCTTTTACCTGCTTACATGGGCCATGCCGGGCGACTTTTCGCTGCGCGGCACAACACTGGATGTGGAGGAAGTGCAGCTCATGCGGTGGTAAATCAGCACAAGGTTTCCCTAACCGTGTTGTGTGATCACATGGGCGAGGATGAGGGGCAATGGCCAGTGAAACGCGCCCAGGTGGAGCTTCACACGAGGGGCAGAAGGCACTAAGGGGAGATCGCTGCGAGATTCAATTGTACGACATAAGCATATTGCACAAGGGGCAGAGGTCTGCATGCATGCCTACAGCAGGCATACGACACAAAGGAGCTGACACATGGACCATTTTCCTTCCCTCAACTGTCGTGTGTACTGCAGCATCTTCAAGGAACTCCTGCTGGACAGCCCCCACTGGGTCGCCTGGGCCGTCACGGGCAGTTCCATGGCGACGCTATGGGCCAATGTTGCAGTCACCCCAGTGAGCAATTGGTGTTGCAGCAGGGGGGGGTTAGGCACTTCTGGGGGGACACATATGCTTCATTCTCAAAGAGCTAGACGGGAGCATTCTATATCTGCTTTCAGAATGCAAATGGACCCAGGAATACATAAGTTATTGGTCTCCAAAGTTGGTTGTACGGCAGCGTGTGGGGTGTTGGGTCCGGGGCTCTGGGAACAATGTCGAAGGGGTCCCGAAACAATGTCACCAGCGGCTAAAACATGCCAATATGGACATCAATCGCTTCACCTTGACGAGATCCATTGATTGAGCTAGTCTGCTGTGATGCTAGCAATTTTGTTGCTGATCTACTAGCAATTGTGTGAACACAAACTGGCATCCCTGTCTCTTGTGGTTACGGCGTGCATGCATGCCTGCTTGCAACGCTTGTGAATGCTGTGGGCATGTCAGCTTTCGGTGCGGAGCTCTGCTTATAGCCGCATATTCTGGCGTTCGTCTTTCCCCCCCAGCCTGTCCTACCCATGACTGTAGCTTCTGTAGAGCCGAACGCCTCTCTGCTGTGCATGGCTGCAGACCAACGGTGTTGCCCTAATCACGTACCACTCCCAACTCAACCTGAGCCCCACGGTGTCCAAGGGCATGCTGCAAGTCGCCTGGGAGCAGCTAAAGGCCCAGGCCGCGAGCTGGGATCCGCCACTGCCAAGCGACCTGGTCTGGCAGTCACCACAGCAGATCGCCATGCTTGCATACTTGTGCCAGGAGTGGAAGGGGCAGTTAGGGACGGCTATCACAGCTGCGAAGCTGGTCGAGCAAACCCTGACAGGAAAGCTCATTCCCGAGGTGGGGCCTGCATAATGCATTCCTGCAAATGGGAACGGGTGCAAAGCATGGTCAGGCGCTGGCTGTGAAAGAGTGTGCTGCTTGCGTGTTGAACGGCAGCTGGTGGAGCCAGACGGTTTCGACTAGCAATCCCTGATTGCCGCATGTGATCCCTATTCAGGTGCTGGCAGACATGCGCATGGTACTGCAAGTGCTGGGCCAGCCTACTTCACAGGTGCTGCTCCTGCGCGAGCTGGTGGACACAATGGCTGGAGTGGAGCACGCCAAGCTCCAGCTGGTGTTCAAGGCGCTGCTGGCCAACTTCACCACCGAGCGAAACGGCAGGCTGTATCTGGATAACCCGCTATTTGCTCAGGTGCTGCAGGTATGGGTGTAATGCCAACACATGCCCATGTACATCAGGAATACCTTCTGAGTAGCACATGTTCACCAACCAGGAGGCCCTAGAGGCTTGGGCCAATACATGCAGAAGTTGTGTTCAGGTGCACACCTGGAGAAGTGGGCGTTTGAGGCGCTCACCCAGGTGTCTGTCGGTTTTCAAGGCATGCGGGGTGCTGCGGTGACACAGAATCGGAAGGGTTTCTGGGACACAGGAGACTGGACCGTGCGAGGCTAGAGGACACGAACTTGTACTGCTGCCCTACACAAAACATACTTGCTACCTGTCGCCGCCTGCTCTTCCCTGCTCAGGCGGCCACCACGGAGTCTGGAGAGCTGTTGGACTCAATCACCGCCATCCCGTCGCTCAGCTCCACGATGTTCAGGGAGCTGGTTGTGCTCGGCGAGCGCTGCAAGGACAAGGACTTCGACATTGCTGAACTGAGCCCAAGAACTTGACCTCTCTTAAACTTTGGTCAAACGTAAACCCTGCCTCAGCATACAGCGTGTAGCCGTCCTTCAGACCTTTTTGGCTTCAGCACTCTCGCATCCAA